GAGTGACAAATTACGGAGGTGGCGGTGCCTTTTGACTACCGAGGAGCGAGCTGCACAATAGCGGCGCCAGGGCCCGCACAATGCGCTCGCGCACAGATAATCGCGGACTTTAAAAACAAATTAGTAGCCGTGATTTATTACGGTCTGTTACGACACTTGGACGTTTTCTGGTCGCGTGCGTTACTGCAATTTGAATGTGCTCTCAATCGGTATATAATTCGCTGACGGTGAACGTTTCGATGCGATCTTGTTCGGATTTACTGCCGCCCTTGCAGGCACTTAATGAGCGGGACAATGTTGACTCGTGGGTTAACTACTACTGGAATTATATAAATTGCGAATGACAAAACTCAATGGGAATGTACTTGTTATCTACGAACAGTCGTGGTATTCTGGAAATCACTTTACAAAGATGGTACGCGGATCTTTGCCGGAATTAGTATAAGGAAAAAGACAGTACACTTGACATATTAGATACTCGTATACAAAACTTATCCGGAGCTGGATATATTCGGTAGTGGGCTGATCAATTTTTTTAAGAAAGCGTTGTTAAGTGCCTATCTCATACCTAATCCGCTGTTTACTTGGATTTCTTTTTGCTTAACAATAAGCACAAATTATTATAATTTTTATTTTATTGTATTTTTTTTATATGTTTACCAAAATTGTCATATATTTTTGAAAAGATTGCAACGTATACTGTAAATATAGTAATATGTATGAAGTGGTAAAATTCAATAAAAAAAGAAATAAAAATAAAAGGACCACAGCTAATAAATAGAATCGTTTCGTCTATTTGTAACAGAAGTAGATCGGTGTTAGATTGGCGATGGCCGTCAACTAGAAACAATAAGCTTTGCAATGTCGTTCATGGAAAATCGATTCGTCTCAACTGTGACGCCATGAATTGATTCCGACAACACTAAATATCCTCGCTTAAGTCTAGTTTATTTCTATTAATCCACGCAAGCAGGAGTAATTAGAAGCTCAGACGTTGTTCAGGTTCTTATTTACTAAAACTACATTTCTCACCAAACGTGTTCCATATTTCGTCCAGACCTATCTTCCTCATGTAATGATATAACTGTATTTTGAATCATTTTACGGATGGCGATTTAGAAAGATTAAATATTATTTCGACAAATATTTTACAATGGGTTAAAGTATTACGTTTAAAATGGTATAAAATCAATATAGAAAAAGTGATATGTTCTTCGGTTAGGTTCGGTAAATATTACTCCGTATAAAAAGCGATTTATTCATCGTTGCAGTAGGTACCTGACGCATTCTGTATTTAATTTTTAAATAAATTATATATAATATACTAAAACTTTATTTAATTTCATAGTTGTTTATACAAACGCCAGTCCCCACAGGACATTCTGGAGTTCGATGACTAGACTATTCCGAGGTATTTGCGTTTTTAATGAAATACTCAAGCAGTATTAATTTTGTGAGTATAATCGATTTTACTATTATATGTGTAGAAAATTTGATAGCAATTAATCGAAACGTTTGAGATATTTGTCAGAGGTTGGGGCAAGGTTAGGTCGTTAGGATCCAATCTAGATACGATTAGACGTGATTTGCAACGCTTGTTAGTGCAAAACTTGATAAATGGAACCTATTTTGAGCAGTACCGAAGTCCCTCCTCTGTGGAGCTATAAATGATTTTGTACGTTATTGTTTCAAGTTTTAATAAACGATACAAACTGGTGGTAATAGTTAATAGTCCATACTGCAACACAAAGAAACGGAAATAACTATTGAGACTAAGAGTAACAAAACTAACACCATTTGATATGTCAATATACTATGACTATTATTATGGTCAATTATTTAATTGATTGTTTTTATTAATAATGTAATTATCTTGTGCCTTAGTAATTTTCAATGAAATTTCGTTATTTGTTGCTCTTATTCAACTTACCTAATAGCTTTAAGGTCTAAAGTTGGACTTATGTCACTGCATTTTGTTAATTTAACTTATAATTAACATTGGTAACGGTGAATCTTATTTAAAATAGAACATCGAAAGTTCTATCTGATTGATTAAATAATAATTATGGTAATGCCGACAGCGGTGATAATAATGGAAAAAAGTTTAATGAGTCCGTCAATACTCAGTAGCGCGTTTGTGTGTTAATAGCCACTTAGTACACGCTTCGGCGCGTGCGCATAAATGGATGGATAGGTTTGAGTATACATGATTGAGACGTCAAAATTTTGAACTGAATTAATTGGGCAAAACCTTTATAAATAAAATGAGTATTTGTGTTATAACGACTGTATATTACATATTGGAGGCTTCAAGTAGAAGCCACAAATTCTAAAGTTTAGATAATTATTTATCAACTAGTTATTTGTTAATTACAAGTTTTAGAAACGTTAGCATCTCCAAGCACGAAACAAATTTTAAAAATAGAACAATAGTAGAGGTCACTTCTCAACCTTTGCGAGATAACCTGAATGTGATGGATGGCGGGCAAATGATATGTTGGCACGGAAACATTGGTCATGCTTGTTGATCCCAGTTGAGTAAGGAGCTATTTGCCGTAAAATCACTATCGAAAGTGATTACAAAAGTCAATGTTATTGTGCAATTGAACTAATCCGCTTTAACCTAATACCATAGTGAGGTTATTAATAACGCTGTTGATACAAAAATAAATATTGACTTATCTTTAAAAATTTAAACGGTCAAAAGTAGTCACGAAGGCTTTTCGACGGGATCTTTATTTGACAATTAAACTAATAACACATTACATTATAAATGTTTTTGATGTAAAACTTATTTAGGTGCATGAGGGTAAAATTTTTATGGAACGTCACGAAGATGTGCAGCGTTTTTTTCGAAAGGGAGAGAGCGATCGACACCGATTGAGAAATAGTGAAATATTAGTATTTTATATTTTATACAAAATAATTTATTGATATCTTAAATGACGAATTGTAAATTAAAATGCCACGTATTTTTGTTATCTAAGAAATAAATTAAAAAAATAAATAATTTGTTATTTGTATTAATTCTCGACTCTTAATATTTTAATGACAATTAAATTAATTAAATACCTAACATATCTTCCTTTTTACCCTCCCTCTAAGTCTCGGAAATCTAAAGTTTTAAATTTGTATAAATATGAACAAGAGTTAAAAATTAGTTTGCCAAAAAAGTTTCAATTCTGACGTGTACTTTTTACGCACGCACTTTTTTACTAATTACAACTGTACTTTATATAATATAGGTATTGTAGACAGTAAACCACGTGCCCATTGCGAAAATAAAACGATTTGTATCAAGTGGAACAGAACGACAATAGGTTTGCGACAGCGCAGAAAACGTCTCACAGGATGTTACCTTGTTACATCCATACATCCTATTACCACAGAGCCTAAGGTTTTGCATAGTAATCACCAGTTAGTATAGAATTTAGCAAAAATATGCAATTTGTCATAATCCTTTTATTAAACGCTATTCTTATTAGGCTAATGTTATAAAAAGGAAATATTTTTGTGTATTCGTAGCGAATCAACTAAGAAACTACCCAACCGATTTTAAAAAATATTTCACAAAAGATTTTTTTTTAATAAGGTGAAAACGTGCTAACGCAGGCCCGCGATATAGAGCTTGACGCGGGGACTGTTGCGTGGTAGCTAAGACCTTACCCACTAAAAACATTTAAGCCCTCCACACGCCCATAAGATGGGCCCTCGGGGTTCGCCAAGGCATTTAACCTAAGAGGCCATTTAATATATATTATGTTGCTTTAGTTTGTACTTCAAAGAAGTTATATTTATGTAATATTACCTCATACATTGGTAAACGAGAAATCTATTTAATACGGTCGACAAAAAATCTATAACGGACATATTGCGTGTTATATTTATCGACGTATATCTCCCGGACACTGTTGTACAAGCAAATATTTTATATGATGCATGACTTCTTGAACATGTAAGGTCGGGATTAGCGTGCCGATATTGGATGACAGGACGAGTAGATCCTAAATCGGAATAGGAACGATTAACACAATTATCAATCGGAAATCGAATCGAACTGTATCGCAATAACATTGAAAAATGTGTGGTCTGCATTTATAAACGCCACTAATAGTTTCAGTGGTTTAATAAATGTTATGGTGTGTAATTTATGTGGAATATATATGCATTTCTATTTTCTATGAAAATTTATAATGGAAAATTTATTAATTCGTTACTGATTAAATAACTTTATCCAGTGCACTTGAAATTAGTTTTTGCTATAATTAAAATCATGCTTAATTAATTTTTAATGTCTGAAGGTGTTTGACCTTAAATTAAATGGTGTACTTGAATTATATATATTCGTGAAATATGAACTAATTAATCTAATAAGATTAAACATATTTATTATGAAATATACTATATTACGCATTGTTACATTAATATAAACCTGACGATTCTATAATGATTAATAACAATATATATTTTATTTCAATACTACAAGAAAAGAACCACAAATATGATGATTGCAAAATTATTGGATTGGATAGATGAAAATACATCTATAAATTGTATGTATAATAAGTGATGTAAGAAGTTTACGGAGACAATGTCACGCAATTAATGAATATTGTCCTCGATACAATTTCCTAATGCAGTTTCTATTCTCATTTTCTAATTAGTTTCCATTTAGAGATACTAATTACATTGATTGAATTTTTATGAAATTATTGGAATTACGACACATTTTTAAAACACAGTTAGACTACTGCTTTTTCGGGAATATAATGACACTTTTAAATAGTCTATGTAAATTTCGAGTCGTTTATTTGAAAATTTTGACGTTCATATTGAGTTACATACATGAACAGATGTTTTAAGTAAATGGTTAAATTTGAGCGAAATTTCGACCTTGAATCGAAATAAGTATCATATATGAACCGCTGTTTTATTCCGTTAGGTATATATGTAAAAATATACACATATATACATTTAAGAAAATCAAAATAAATACCAACCTTACAGCCTTCACACGTAAAAGCTCCGAAGTGGAAGCCGGCCGCCGGCTCACCGCAAACTTTGCACTTTTGGTTCATCTGAAAATATAAAGTTATTGTATTAGGTAGGTAAGCCAAAAATGCAAATAATAATAATTTAATAATATTTACTAAATGTTTTAACTTTTTATTCATATCATACACACGAAGTTACGGATTTAAAATGAAAAAATCTATTTTCATGATCCATTTATCGAAGGCTGTATAAGGTGCTACGAGCGATTTTTTATATAGGATAGGGCAAACAACCCCACGTGACGCCCAAAAAGGTCACTCAACGTATGGACGCCCATGGGCACCCATTTTAGTGGGTGCCGGCCTTTGATCTTGCGTAAAGAGTTTTCTAACCACAACTGAAGGCTGAAGAAATATTGAGAAAACGTTTTTTTATTTTAGATAAAACACACATATAGTTGATTACTAATGTGATGGGCTTAAATTAAACTAATTACAGCTATTTAAATATGAATATCTAACCTGTTCACGAAGAAATAATAATACAAACGACTAAGTAGTGTAATGGTAATAAGAGAAATGGTTTTATCGTTCGAGTGCTATAGAAACCCAATTCGTCGTTAATATGCCATGACGGAGATCTTACATTTTCCAATCAAAAATGTTGTTAATTTCGAGGACGACGGTGCATGTTATTAGATGACTGTAATAAAACTGTGCACTTTGAATTATTTTTTATGGGAGCGAGTAAATTTGTTTTGCCCAAGTTTTATTCTGCAATTCGTGCATAAGAGACAAATCCTAGTAATAATCAAATGCGTTCGCAATATTCGCAAGAGTGGAGCCCATGGAGCAGTGTTGGCTTAGTGGCTTCAGCGTGCGACTTTCATCCTTGAGGTCGTAGGTTCGATCCCCAGCTATGCACCAATGGACTTTATTACTATGCGCGTATTTGAGATTCGCTCGAACGGTGAAGGAAAACATCGCGAGGAAACCGGCTTGTCTTAGATCCAAAAAGTCGACGGCGTGTGTCAGGCACAGGAGGCTGATTACCTACTTGCAAATTAGATTGACAAAAGATCATGAAACAGATACAGAAATCTGAGGGCCAGACCTAATATGTAGCGCGAGAGAAAATTTATTAATGTATGGTGTTTAACTCAGTTTATGAGTCGCACACTGCAAATGCTGCTTTCGAAACCTCCGTAACCCCTTTTTAAACAAGCATTTATAGTCAAGCCCTCGCAATATAGCAGATATGTTTCTGATAAGAATACTTCCCGACATCAACCAAGCGCCAGTTTATATCGCAATTCTCGAACATAACTAACAGAACAAGCAATAACAAACAAGTACCAAGTATCGATATCGAAAAAAGGATGTCATAAAAACGACAAATTACGCGCTGTACGCTCATACCGGATCATGTTCGGGCTAATTTAGAGCGGGTCGATGAGCGGAGCGATAAGCGGCGCGGACGCCCCACTGCGTGATTTACTCGATCCGAGCTCGCCCGATGACAGCCGAGATGTTACCGATTAGCGTTCGTGATACACTGCGTCGCTCCACTGTTTTATGTGCGAGCATGAAAAATTGGTGTTCAAAGGTTAATTCCTAATTTATCGAGTCGCGATTTCCAAATGTAAATATGATTTTTATGTAAATGTTTTAGGGAAAGTTCGTGAGTTAATGTATGATTAGTCAAGTTCATTAAAAGGTTCAAAAATAGACGTAACGGAGACTAATAATTTAGGGAATTCGGGCAGCTATTAGGGTGACATTTTTATTTATTTATTTATTTAGTTATTAAGCTTACGACATCACACACAGTCTTAAATTTACTAATTATTTTACAAAATCTTACATCTAAAATGTATGTGTCATTTGCGTAGTAGTTTTACAAAAGTGAACATAGATTATATTTCAATTGTATAATTTATGGCCATGTAGAATATATCATAAAATAAGATAAAAACTGTGCATCCATAGACAGCGAACACCATACGAATTTGTAAATCGACTTTTTAACATATTATACAAAGAATAAAAAGTCATAAGATCTAACTGGCCGGTGACCATATCAGTCAGAATTTATAACCAATAAAAACGGACCTATAGGAGTGGTCTGGTACTACACCTGTCGCGTTATCTTGAAGCTTTGATATGAGCTTTAAGCTGCGTATGAACTAACGGTCATGTTCTTTAATTACATCTAACAATAAACTATCAATTCATTAACAATTTATTAGGAGACAATAAGAAATTTAATAAGATTTTTTATGTGCTAACTACATTTACTAAAATCCTATGCGTATGATTAATTCCTAGCTTAGTCTCTTACTCACTCTTTTCTCAGTCGTATTTTTCATTGCTGAAGGTCGTGTCACTGTAAGGTGCCTGCTGCCCTGCTAGTGTTATCTCTCCACTTTGTTTGAGAATCGTAACTTGCTCATTCCAGCGGGTTGGCAATCTGCCCCGGGGCCTTTTGCCTTCCACCTTGCCGACGACAACCAGCTTGTCCAGGTTATCTGGTCCGCGGTGGGCGATATGATCAAAGTAAGTAAGAATGCTTCTAAAGCATGTTATTGAGAGTCTCGTACGGACTCTGAGTTGATCCAAGATTGATTTTTTAGTTCTTTTAGCGGTCCATGGTATGCGAAGCATCTTTCTCCAACACCACATCTCCAATGAATATGACATACCTACTAACTACTGCTAGAAACAGTCGAGTATTTATTTCTGAAATAATTGCCCCAAAACGTCTAACATTAAAAAATTAAGAATAAACGGTAATATATAAAAATAAAATTTAAATTGTTTATGCATAATCGCTACTGGATTCATAATTTTATTTTAATGTTACTCGTAATGCTTTTAAAAGTGTAATAACAATATATTGCGATAACCTTTCAGCGCGTATGTCTATAAAGTATTTTTTATTGAAATTAATCCAGTAATTTAAAGTGTTGACTACCACGTAATTATATTTTAAACCCATCATAAACAGTATCGTAATATTAAAACGATAATAATAAAGATATCATAACTCAACTGAATGGTAGTACTATTTATTTGATTTAAGTATCTTCCGTATATTTTGTAATAGACTAAAACTATATGCATAGCTAAATTTCACACACTCCGAACACAGTACCTGGATCTATGTGAACGGATAGTTCAAAAACTTAAAGTAAGAAATAAAAATGAAACAGTTTTGCAGCCTGCGACACCAGGTGGTTCGGCATTTCATGAAATATAGTCAGCAAATTAAAGTTCATACATGTCTAGAATAAAGTCGATTGAAAAATAGCTTAATTTCATTTGTAATGTTTACACTTACAATTGTAAGACAAAAATGTCCTGACTGTTAATTAATAAGTCGATATTGTCTATAAATCATATTTCTTAAAATTAATTAAAAATAAATTACACATTCATACAAAGTTTATCAATTCGTTTAAACAAAAATTAAACATAATTTTAAAATGAATTAAAGAACCTGATTTACATTCTAAAGTATCCTCAAATTGTTTTAAATATTAATTCAATAACACCTAATTGATACGAATAAGACAGTTAACGAAATAAGCTAATTAATATGATAATTGCATGTCTAGATCGCATCCAAGATAAATTATTACCGACTCAGTGACAATCTGCGCTTTTTATATAAGTATTTTTGCGATAAATCAATTTAATATCAACTTTATCAGCACCTGATTAAGTTTAATTTAGCCTAAAGAATACATAATTGTACCCTCAAAAATGCAAGCGAAACTGACAAATTAATTAAACTCAGGAATCAGGGAATCGATATGTTTAATCGAATTATATGCTCGAATACACTATGAAGATTCGTAAGTGAAGAAACTTTTGCACATTTTTACACAAAGTCATTGACCTGGTTTGTCATTTTGGGGCATATATTCTTATTAATTGCGATTTTAAGCCATTTCAAGGTATTATTAATAATTTCACGCTTTGAAGATGAGTCAGATATTTGGAATATCTTTATAGCCATGTTACCGTTACGTACCAAACCTATATCTAATAGGATTTGCTTACATAGGATAAAATGAAACATATAAACATAATATATAAAATGAAGAATCAGATACAATGAATGCGATATACTCAAAAACTAATTATTTCACCCTGTTCATAAATAATTTCTGACGAACGATTAGGAGTACAATTCATTAAGATTTTATGTAAATTGACTTAAAGAGGTCACAAGTAGTTTTACCAAAATATGATTCACGCGGCAAGTATAGCAGGTAGTTAGGATGTAGCGATTCATTTTCATACATTATTTTGCGACCCAACCGAATTCTAGTAGAAAATGAAGATATTTTTCTACTATGTAACCATACTCGAGCAGTTATAGTAGAATTTCGAATCTAGGAGAAAGTTCCCACGGGGCGCGACGACGGCGGTCGCAAATGACAGAGGAGAGTGATTCACACGCTCGCCTCTCCGTACCGTTTGATCATCTACCGTCATTATATCGATCGTCACATGTTTTAGAGCACGGAGGTTCTGTAACGCTATAAGAAAATACGATAAGCGATACTACGACATTAAGCTACGTCTAACAGAGCGCAGTAATCTATTTTTATATAATTTCCTCTTAACAAAAGTACTTAACCACACAGAATAATAATTTCAAGGGCTCGCTTTTGCAATTGGCATTTTTTTGCAACACAGTCTCAATGCGAAATGAAATGCGAAAATCTAAATTCTATACGCTGTTTATTTACAAAATGGCTCACGTGGTCCGAATACAAGTGGCTCACTCTGATTGAATACTAATGATTATGTCTAATGTACTTAATCTGGATCGTTATATGAAATAGAACATACATGTCTTAAGGTATAAGCATACGTTTGTATGCATATTACTTCTATCTAGATTAGTGTACCAGTGACGTTGCCTAAAAATCTATTTTAGTTATTAAATACGGTAAAATACCGAGTAAACGGCATGTTAGTGGAAGGAAAACATCATGGCTTCATAACGTTAGGGACGGGTAAAACTGCGGAAGAGTTCTGACATAAGACATGTTTCACGAAACTGACTGCCA